CTAAACATATCACTCCTTTGTGCCTTTATGCATGCTGGGTTTTTTGCTTCAAAAACTACCTTCTTTCTGGGCCGGCCCCATGGCTTAGTGGTTGAGTGCATGCGCTCCACTGCTGGCGGCCCGGGTTCGGATCCCGGGCGTGCCAACGCACCGCTTCTCCGGCCATGCTGGGGCTGCGTCCCACATGCAGCAACTAGAACGATGTGCAACTATGACATACAACTATCTACTGGGGCTTTGGGGGAAAAAATAAATAAATAAATAAATTGTTTAAAAAAAAACACAAAAAAAACTACCTTCTTTCTGCCTAGCACACTCTCATTTATTAAATGCATTTAACAACAACATACTCTGTCTTCTCCCAGTTCCCAAAGCATATCGTGATTCCTTGTCCATCTTCTTCCATGAACAATGAGTTCCGAAATGGTAAGAACCATGTCTTTTCATCTATTTCCCAGCATTTGGCATAGTGCCTGGCATTTATCAGGTGCCCATGAAAGAAAGTGAAAGTGTAGTATTCTCGACTATTTCTCCTCACAGTTATAAGGGGAAAAAGGGCCAAAGAATAGCTATACTCCGCCTAGTCTGCCCACCTGTCAGAAAATACATACCTTAATCTCTATATTGATGAATCATATTGCTAATGGCAGTGACCAAACAATAAGGCAATTCCAAAGTGACTTCACGGAACAAGTGAGATAAAGACACAGTAAAAGTTTGGGTGATTCTGATACACAACTTCTCCCCTACTAATTGGCAATCACTCTGATAATATTCGGGAAACCTGATATTATTGTTTTTACTGTTTTAATACATAAACCAGAAAGTGAATTTTGTGACTTTGAAGAGACAACTCTAATAATAATCCCAAGGATCACACAGTGAAGTCTTCTGGGCAAAGTATTATCTTAATGTTGAGAAGAAAAATTATAACCAGAGAAGGTTACCTGATAGGCTTGGAATCAGCTCAAGCGTGTAACTGGATAATCTGAACAGCTATCAGTGACATCAAGCTATGCTGATCAGATCTCTGTAATATCACCATGGGGACAGACAAGACACTCTGACCCTCTTGTCAGGGTAGCCCTTCCCCAGGACATGGCTGGAGAATTCTGCCTCTCTTCCCACACTGATCATTCCCTTTCAACCAATTTTTTTCCTTCCTACACTGATCATTTTCTTTCTATTAAAACTTTGATTCCTTTAGACAGGTGAACACCACTAATCAGGGTACAATCAAGTCTGCCTTGGACTGTCTTCTTAAGGAGCTTTCTGCCATTATGGACTTCATCCTTTACATGGAACTCTCATAGTTTAACTTCCCATTCTAAGGGTACTTCACTATCTACTCTAAAGATAACCTGTAAAAATACAGGTCGATGGGGCCGGATCGGTGGCACAAGTGGTTAAGTGCGCGTGCTCCACTGCGGTGGCCCAGGGTTCGCCAGTTCGGATCCCAGGCACGCACCGAGGCACTGCTTGTGGAGCCATCCTGTGGTGGCGTCCCATACAAAGTGGAGGAAGATGGGCACGGATGTTGGCTCAGGGCCAATCTTCCTCAGAAAAAAGACAGGAGGATTGGCCTCAGATGTTGGCTCAGGGCTGATCTTCCTCACAAAAAAAAAAAAAAAAAAACAGCTTGATTTATAAGGTATTAATCATAGGAATTCTCTGGGCCTGTTGCTTCATCTGGGGGTAGTTCTACAGTGTTTTCCAATAAACTATTAACAAGGATACTTTTGATCAGAAAATTAATCAGGGCCGGCCTCGTGGCTTATCGGTTAAGTGTGTGCGCTCCGCTGCTGGCGGCCCGGGTTCGGATCCTGGGAGCGCACTGACGCACCGCTTCTCCAGCCATGCTGAGGCCGCGTCCCACATACAGCAACTAGAAGGATGTGCAGCTATGGCATACAACTAGCTACTGGGGCTTTGGGGGAAAAAAATAAATAAATAAAAATTATAAAGGAATACTTTAAAAAAAAAAAAAAAAAGAAAATTAATCAGATGAAAGTCCTTTTGAAAATGCCAAATAGCATATACGAAGGATCTGGTACCTACTGTGTTGCCTGCCAGAGATTAGAATTCAATAGTCTTCTAGATTAGTTTCCTCTTTTCCCCCCCAGGAAAGGATTTTTTAAAAAGAAGTGACACTGAAAATAGGGATTAAAAAACAGCATTCAAAATAAAATCATGTACAAAAATAACTCAGAAATTAATGACAGAAGGAAAAGGTTAAGTCACATACCCATGAGACAATTATCTGAAGTTTCCTGCCATGCTTGTCCATTAATGCTGACATTCTCTTGCACAGCTGACTCAAAAGTCTGCAAAAAATTCACAATATTCAAGTCACTAAAAATAACTTTAAACACAGAATTCAAACACTTTGGCAAACTAACAATATCAGTTTTGTGACAAAGAATATAAAGAAAACTAGCAGACTAGCCTATTAGCATATTTATTCTTTTCAATGAAGATTCCGTTTTCATCAGTGATTCCACCTACATTTAGCTCTGATAGCTATTATGCTACCTATAAGAATATTCGATACAAAATTTTAGAATATTCTTGCAAACAAAAAATATACTTCCTAAATGAAAGAAGATATAAAAGCTAACAAATTTGGGCTCAGTTAAATCTCAAGGGTATAAGTACTACATATGCTGCTGACTGTTAATGTTAACGGGGGAAAACACACGCTTAAAGAAACTGAAATTTATTTCTACTTTGTAAAGGACTATTTTTTTATTTTTTTTGTGTGAGATCAGCCCTGTGCTAAAATCTGCCAATCCCCCCCTTTTTTTGCTGAGGAAGACTGGCCCTGGGCTAGTATCCGTGCCCATCTTCCTCCACTTCATAGGGGACACCGCCACAGCGTGGCCTGCCAAGCAGTGCGTAGGTGCGCAACCAGGATCCCAACCGGCCAACCCCGGGCCCCGGGAGGCCGCAGCGGAGCGGGCACACCCAACCGCTTACGCCACCAGGCAGGCCCCTGTAAAGGACTATTTTTTTTTGAAGTACGTAGGGATGAAATGACATGAGATCTTCGATTTGCTTTAAAATAGGAAGTGTAACAAGATTTTGATCACTATTGAATTGGGTGATGGATGTATGGGTGTACACTGTATTAGTCTATTTTTTGAAGGGTGAAAATGTTCATAATACATTGAAAAATAAAGGACTAAAAAGATTTGGCAGTACCATTCAAATTTTAAAGGCACATTCCCTACTACCTAACAATTTCACTTCTAGTAACGTATCCTAAAGGACTATTCTCATACTATGAATGTTTATTTCAGCACTGTTTGAAATTATGAAATATTAAGGGAAAAATACAAAATCTAAATTCAAAATTAGGAGAAAGGTTAAATATACAATATATCCATACCAAGCAACACTTAAAAAGAATGAAGTAGGGGCCAGCCCAGTGGCGCAAGGGGTTAAGTGCACGTGCTCCGCTACGGTGGCCCAGGGTTCGCCAGTTCAGATCCCGGGCGCGCACCGATGCACAGCCATGCTGTGGCGGCGTCCCATATAAAGCGGAGGAAGATGGGCACAGA